GGGGGGGGGGGGGGGGGGGGTTGTACAAGACTTCTAACCACTTCCTGTCTCAGTTTCTTCATCTGCAAAATAGGGGAATAGTACCAACAAAGGTGCATGCATAGCAGGGGTTCTTCTCCCTCCTTTTCAGGAAGGCAGTTGGTGGGAAGCCCAGCCTGGGTCCTTGTGAGCAGCAGGAAGGATATGCAGCTGCTGTTGGCCCTGTTGGGGGTCCTGCTGGAGGTGCCTGGGGCTCCAGCTTTGTCCCTTGAGACCTCTGAGGAAATGGAGCTAGGTATGGCCTTTAAGGTGAGAGAGGATGGCAGGGGTGGGCACATGGAGGGGGCTACTAGCTGAGAAAAGCAGGAGAAGATCCTGGCCCAGTCCCTTGAAGAGGTGACAGCAGGGCAGGGCCCAACCATTTGAGACAAAGTGTCTGGCTCCCAGCAAGCATCCACCTATCTCTGTGTCCACGAGAGAGGACTGACCTTGCAGGGTGAAGGGTCCTGTGCTGGGCTGCAGAACTGGTGGTGAGCCCGTCGGCTGTGTGTGTGTACGTGTGTGTGCGGGTGGGTGTGTGGGTGTGTGTGTGTTCTATGCACTGGGTTTGGGAGGCCCAGACAGCATGTATGGTATATGCACTGTGAGTGTGGTATGCCTGGGAGATGTGGCATGTGCCCTGTATGTGGCATCTATAGCATGTGTTGTATGTGTGTGTGTATGTATGTGTGTGTCAGGCAATGGCATGACCAGTTCAGCATGTGTGCTCTGCACTGTGTGTGTGATGTGCACCAGAGGCGTGGTAATTGCCTTACACAGAGCATCTGTAGCATGTGATTATGTGTGTGTAAGTTGAGGAGCAGCAGGTGTCCAGCATGTGTCGAGAGGTGCTTGTGCCCTGCCTGTGCAGCATGTTCCCCATATGCAGGGGGCTCCCTCAGCTGGGGCTGTGGGGCTCACTGACCTCTGCCCTTGGCCCACAGAGCCCTGCCTGGCCCCCAGCCCAGAGCAGCAAGAGCAGGAGCTGACCGTGGCCCTTGGGCAGCCTGTGCGGTTATGCTGTGGGCGGGCTGAGCGTGGTGGCCACTGGTACAAGGAGGGCAGTCGCCTAGCACCTGCTGGCCGGGTACGAGGCTGGAGGGGCCGCTTGGAGATCGCCAGCTTCCTACCGGAGGATGCTGGCTGCTACCTCTGCCTGGCACGAGGCTCCATGCTTGTCCTGCAGAATGTTACCTTGGTTGTGGATGGTAAGGGGGTCTAGAAGGGGCTAAAGGGTGCCTGGGGAGAGAGATCCTCCCCATCCTAGACCTCAGACATCTCTTTTTATTCTTGACACAGACTCCTTGACCTCCAGCAATGGTAATAAGGACCCTAAGGCCCACGGGAACCCCTCGAATGGGCACATTTACCCCCAGCAAGGTCAGTATGAGTCCTCAAGGACTCATTTTCCTACTTCCCAGCTGGTCACTGAGAAGAAGAGACCTGTGTGGAAGCAGGTGGTCATCCTGGGGACACTAAGTTCTCCTTTCCCCTCCTCTCCAGCACCCTACTGGACACACCCTCAGCGCATGGAGAAGAAACTGCATGCAGTGCCTGCTGGGAACACTGTAAAGTTCCGCTGTCCAGCTGCAGGCAACCCCATGCCCACCATCCGCTGGCTCAAGGACGGAAAGGATTTCCACGGGGAGCATCGCATTGGAGGCATTCGGGTGAGTCTCCAGGTTCCAAGACCATCTGTTCCTCCATTTTCACTCCCCTCTTGGTCCCCTCATACCTATAAGTCGTTCCTTCTCTAATGAGGAAGGCAGCTGTGGGCCCTAGCAGCACTAAACTGTGGACTTGGACAGCTCTGATTCAAGTACCCACTCTGCCACCCTGCGGCAAATGACTTAATCTCGCAGCCTTAGCTTTCTGTGGGAAGTGGGAAGGATCAATAACTGGCAGGTATTGAGTTTCAGCAACTAATTCTCATGATAAGACCCTGCAGAGCCTGCTCCAGGCTGTAGTGAGGAAGCTGAAACTGAGAGAGGGCAAAAACTGGCCCAAGGTGGTACAGCCAGGAAGAGCCCCTGCTAAAACTCAAAGACCCAGACCCAGGGCTCAGAAACTTCCTGGAGCCTTCTTCTTCATCTCAGGGTCTCTGGCCTTGGCCTGGCTTCCCCAGGGCCTAGAAAGCTTGAGAAGACCCCTGTGAGTGGGATCTAGCCCCCTCATTCCCTTGACCCCTGGATGGGCACAGGTGAGTGGCCCCTCATGGACACTTCCCCTGTCCCCAGCTGCGCCACCAGCACTGGAGCCTGGTGATGGAAAGTGTGGTGCCCTCGGACCGTGGCACATACACTTGCCTCGTGGAGAACTCTATGGGCAGCATCCGCTACAGCTATCTGCTGGATGTGCTGGGTGAGCGGACGGGCAGGCAAGGCGGTATGGGGGTGGGAGCCCTGACACTGCCCTCGGGTAGGGCCCAGTCTGGCAGGCAACATGGACTTGGTCTTAGATGGCTCAAGCTGCCCTAAGTGTCCTAGTGGGTCAGAGGGAAGCACAGGGGGTAATGTTGGCCTGGAGGAATAGGGTCAGCTGAGAGAAAAAGTGAGGAAGACATCCAGGCAGAGGGCACAGGCTAAATAAAGGTCCTAGGTGTGACAGATACAATGCATTTGTGAAGAGCTGTATGCCTGGAGTGTGGCATGTAAGTGGGGAGCCATGTCGTGGAGGGCTTTAAATGATAGACCGTGAAGCTGTCCTTGACTGCAAAGGCAATGGGGAGCTATGGTAAGCAGGGGGTGGACAAGATCTGAGCTGCATATCAGGAAGTTCCTTCCCTGGAGCTGGGGGGAGGCAGGAGGCAGATGACCAGGGTGCTTCTGTGGGTGCCACTGGTCAGGGTTGACCGCCTGGCCCGGCCCCCAGAGCGGTCCCCGCACCGGCCCATCCTGCAGGCGGGGCTCCCAGCCAACACCACAGCTGTGGTAGGCAGCGACGTAGAGCTGCTGTGCAAGGTATACAGCGACGCCCAACCCCACATCCAGTGGCTGAAGCACATCGTCATCAATGGCAGCAGTTTCGGTGCCGACGGCTTCCCCTACGTGCAAGTCCTGAAGGTCTAGCCCCCACCAGCACCTGAAGCCTACTACTCTCCCATGGGGTGTGGGGGGTTGGTCCCCAGCCTCCTTCCTAGCCACAATATCGCCCCAGGCCCTGTGGTGACCCCTGATTATGTCCCCGGTCCCCAGACAGCAGACATCAATAGCTCAGAGGTGGAGGTCCTATACCTTCGGAACGTGTCAGCCGAGGACGCAGGCGAATACACCTGCCTGGCAGGCAACTCCATTGGCCTCTCCTACCAGTCAGCCTGGCTCACAGTGCTGCCAGGTGAGCACTTGAGGGGGCCAGGAGAGGCTGCAGGAACCCTGCTCTGATCCAGCAGTGGGCTGTGTCCTGTGGGGCTTGGGACATAGCATGCGGATTTGTGTGTTTTTCATCCCTCATTAGCGGTCCTTCTGTGCATGTCCACATATGATTGCCTTGTGAGCCTCTGGGGTATGGATGTGCAGGACTGGGTATAGCTCCAGCTTGCTTGTCAAATGTCCCCATGTGTGCTGGGAGCTGAGAGGGCCTGAGTTAGAAGATGTGGAGCTGGCCATCTGACCACTGACCTGTCAGTTTTCTGTCTATATATGTGTCTGTGGACAGAGGAGGACCTCACATGGACAGCACCAGCACCTGAAGCCAGGTACACGGACATCATCCTGTACGTGTCAGGCTCTCTGGCATTGGTTGTCCTCCTGCTGCTGGCCGGGCTATATCGAGGGCAGATACTCATCAGCCGGCACCCTAGGCGGCCCGCCACTGTGCAGAAGCTGTCCCGCTTCCCTCTGGCCCGACAGGTACCTTGCTGTCACCCACGCCTTCCTGTGTCCCCATAGCGAGGCTCTTGGCCTGCCTTCCCAACCCAGCTCAGCTCCAGCAGGCTTACCAAGTCACCCACCTTACAGTTCTCCCTGGAGTCAGGTTCTTCAGCCAAGTCAAGCTCGTCCTTGGTGCGGGGTGTTCATCTCTCCTCCAGTGGCCCTCCCTTGCTCGCTGGCCTTGTGAGTCTAGACCTACCTCTCGACCCTCTGTGGGAGTTCCCCCGGGACAGGTATGCTGCATGGAGTGAGCATAAGGTTCAGGTTCCAGGCAGGAATGATGTTCATATGGCTGAGGCCTCGGCTTTCTAATTTCCAGGTTGGTGCTTGGGAAGCCCCTGGGTGAGGGCTGCTTCGGGCAGGTGGTGCGTGCAGAGGCCTTCGGCATGGACCCCGCCCGGCCTGACCAAGCCAGCACTGTGGCTGTCAAGATGCTCAAGGGTGAGTGGTGACGCCGGGGGAGGTGCTGTGGCCGTGAGACTAACAGAAGGGGCTCATGGTGCTACCAGTTGAGCACTGGTGGCCAGAAGGGCTGCAAGATGCCACTCTTGGGCCTAGGGCCCAACTCTGCTACCGACCCTGGCTAGCCATTTCTGAGATTGTTTCCTCACATGTCACATGGGGTAAACAATAGTTCCCAGGCTGAGGCTCGTGGAAAGTGCCTGGTACATAAAACCTTAACCACTTGAATGATGAGAACTACAAGGATTTGGGATGACTGGGGTTAGGCACCCCCACGTTAGCCCTGGCCCCACGTCAGCCTGGGTCTCAGATAACCATGTCAGCCTCACAGGCCATACCTTCAGCCTCCCCATCTGGGCCCTCCCCCAAGTCTCTCCCCATGTCCACCACTCTAGAACAGCCCAAGCACCAGCCCAAAAGTGCCCAGGACACACCTGGGACCTGCCATCGGGTCTTCTCACTGCTATCCCCCACTTCCTCTACAACAGCAGCCAAAACCATTGTTCTGCTCCCCCACCCCCTCCTCTCTGCACAGCTGGGGCCACCTGGTGCTTTCTGGGAGGCAGGGATTGAGAAATGTGCATTGTGAGGTTTGGCAGGGAGGGTATGTCATTGGCCAAGGGCCACAGGTCAGCCCTGGTCCTCAGCCTTCCCAAGAAGATCTGGAGCAGCTTTTTCTCAGCCTCCCCTAGCTGTACTTCACGGGCAGCTCCCTGAATTCTCAGGCCAAAAGGACACCAGGCCCCAGTCAGACAGGCCTCAGGGCGCCAGCCTGCTTCCCGCCCCCAGGAGCTCTTACCCCATCAAGAACGAATGCCAAACCTCCAGACACAGCGTCTTCCTGTTCAGAGTTCTTCCTCCTCTCCTCTGTTTCCTCGTCCCACTCACAGAGAGGCCTACCTCCTGTAGATCCTTGATCTCGTTTCATCCCTGCAACTGCTGTGAGAGGTAGGGCATGATCCATTGCCCCATTTTATACAAGATGATCCTGAGGTTCAGAGACGTTAGAAGACTTTTTAAAGGCCGCAGAGCCTAGCACGAATTCAGGCCCAGAGCTTCCTGACTCCAGGTCCAGCACTCAATGTCCTATATAGTCAACCCTGCACCTCCCCCACGTATAGTCACCCTGGCTGTCACCCTTGCAGACAATGCCTCCGACAAGGACTTGGCAGACCTGGTCTCTGAGATGGAGGTGATGAAGCTGATCGGCCGACATAAGAACATTATCAACCTGTTGGGTGTCTGTACTCAGGAAGGTGGGTTGGAATGGGGCTAAGGACCGGGACAGTGGGGTATGTAGCCACAGCCTCAGCAGCCTCCCTGTCCATTCTCACCTCTACAGGGCCTCTGTATGTGATTGTGGAGTGTGCCGCCAAGGGAAACCTGCGGGAGTTCCTGCGGGCCCGGCGTCCCCCAGGCCCCGACCTCAGCCCTGATGGGCCAAGGAGCAGCGAAGGGCCGCTTTCCTTCCCTGCTCTGGTTTCCTGTGCCTACCAGGTGGCCAGAGGCATGCAGTATCTGGAGTCAAGGAAGGTATGGGCAGTGGGCAGCACTCTGGACCATTCTAACTGCTCCACCTGCGTACTTTCCTGCCACTGGCACTGAATGTCCCCATCTTCTCCCTCTTTCCCCTTTCCATTATCCTGTCTAAATGTTCCCAAGTCCTTCTGTACCCCCCATCCATACACAGTTGACACTGCATGTCCCTATTCCTTCCTCACACAATCCCTAACTCATCGGGCAAGGGAAGAGACCATGCAAGAGAGAGGTGGGGCCCTGAAGTTAGCTTTGGTTTCCCCCTCTCTGCATCTTGACGTCTTCATTCGTAGAATGAGTGGATGATGCCTACACCCAGGGTTACTGTGAAGTGCAGTGTGCCCAGCATCCAGCCATGTGTCCTAATAAACCTAAGTCCCCTGCCCTGCCCCTAGTGCATCCACCGGGACCTGGCTGCCCGAAACGTACTGGTGACAGAGGACAATGTGATGAAGATAGCAGACTTTGGGCTGGCCCGTGGCGTCCACCACATTGACTACTACAAGAAAACCAGCAACGTAAGGGAGGCAGGGCAAAGTTGGAAAGGAGGTGGGGGGCACCAGGACCTATGGGACTTGGCATCAATGCCCCCACTTCTCCCATCCAGGGCCGCCTGCCTGTAAAGTGGATGGCACCCGAGGCCTTGTTTGACCGAGTCTATACACACCAGAGTGACGTGTGAGTCCTGGAGGTTGGGGCTCTGGAGTAGCTGCCAGCAATCATTGTCCTACCCCACAAAAGGGGCAAAGCACTTGCCCAAGGCCACACAACCCTAGGACCTGAGTGGGCCCAGACTCCAATCCCCACCCTCCATGGTGGATCATGCCTGTGAGGACCCCCATCCCAGCCCCAGGAGTAGGGAGCAAAGCTCTGCCCTGCTGAGCACTGTTCCTGCCTCTAGGTGGTCGTTTGGGATCCTGCTGTGGGAGATCTTCACTCTCGGGGGTTCCCCATACCCCGGCATCCCTGTGGAGGAGCTGTTCTCACTTCTGCGGGAAGGGCATCGGATGGACCGGCCCCCAAACTGTCCCCCAGAGCTGTGAGACCTCACTCCCTTCTCTCCCACTTTACAGTCCTCATCCTCTGCTCTGACCTTGTCCTTAGGACCTGGTCCCCTAACTCACTGTCACCATCCGAGGGGAGATCCTAGCCTAGTTTCTGTGACCCTTCCTCTGAGTAGTCCCACCTAATCCTTATCAAACTCTGCCCCTTTATCATACCCTTGCCATAAGGTCTCCCCCCACATTCAGTCCTGAGACTCTTCTGACCCTCCACCCTCTCCACCAGGTATGGGCTGATGCGTGAATGCTGGCACGCAGCACCTTCTCAGAGGCCTACTTTCAAGCAGCTGGTGGAGGCACTGGACAAGGTCCTGCTGGCCGTCTCCGAGGAGGTACTGCTCTCCTCTTGTCCCATGACCTCCCTCTGCCCTCCCCCCTCTGGGCCTCATCTCAGCCGACTACCAGGACTGACCAGCACTGTTCCCCATAGTACCTGGACCTCCGCCTGACCTTTGGACCCTACTCCCCTGCTGGAGGGGATGCCAGCAGCACCTGCTCCTCCAACGACTCTGTCTTCTGCCATGACCCCCTGCCACTGGGGCCCAGTTCCTTCTCCTTCCCCGGAGTGCAGACATGAGCAGGGCCACAAGGTTGTTATAGGCAGGCAGGCCAGCAGCCTTCAGCCTCCTGGTTTAGCGGCAACCTGGCAGTGCTTGACCTTGGCAGCCTCAGGCCCCAACCTTAGGGTAGTGTCCCAGATCTCTAGTTCTGCCTTGGGGAGGTCTGTCCTTGTTCCGGGGGCCCCTCGATGAGGCTTCCAGCTCTGGCCTCAGATTCCCAAACCAGACTTCAACCCCAGTCTTTGGAGTCGTGACCCAGGTGTCCTAGTGGCCTGAGTGTTAGGGTTCTGCCTGGCCTCCTGGCCCTTAGCACTTAGTCCAGGGGTTTGGCTGGACCTGGCTATAGAACTGTCCTAAACCTCCCTGCTTCCCTGCACCAAGAGAGGTCTTGGGCCTCCGAACCCCATTTCCCCAGGCCTCCCCTGCCTCTCCTTTGCTGTTTGTCCCAGCATCTTGGTGGCAAGAGCATTGGCCCCTGTGTTCCCAGCTGAGTGGCTGGAAGCCTGCCGAAAACACAGAAGCAAATGGCCTTTTATAAATTATTTTTTGAAATACACCTCTGTGTTCCTGGTGTCTTCCCTGCAGTGGATGGAGGGGAAACAGGGTGGAGGGATCCCCAAGCTGGGAGCCTTGCCTAAGTGACACAGACTGAGGGCTTTGTGCCAGGCCTTGGGTTTGCATCCACTTCCAGCTACCTCAGGGCGAACCCAGGAACCTGTGTGCACCTCTGACTTGGTCTGTCTGTCTTGCCCCATCTTGTGCACGTGATGGTGTGAACGAGTGCTAATGGCAGAGGAGTCCACATGGCACCATCCACTGGATGGAACTCTTATACCCTCTGCACATGCATGTGCATGTGCCTGCCCTGGGACTGTCCCCAAGGGAGCTGGCAGCACCCCTCCCCCATCTGCTCAGCATTAACCAAGCTGACCGTTAACACAGCGTGAAAGCCTGAAACACAGCTTCAAGGCTGCTGCCTGCTCCCACGCTCTGCTGCTCAGGCTGGGGGCTTGTGGGGGCTGTGCCTGCCCCGCCTGCCCCACCCTGGCCAGTCTCCCGGGCAGCAGCTGGTTGCCGCCCAGCCAAGCTGCAGCTGTCCCTGCCTGCCTGGTCCTCCCCTGGAGAGACCGTCATGGCCCTGTTCTCAAACACCCTCTGGGGAGGGGGTGAGGAGATCAGTTTCCCAGAGCTCTGAGCCTGGAACCTTCCCGGGGTCCATCCAGGCAGTTACTGCTGTTCTCCAGCCCCTGAACCAGGGTGGAGTTACCTGACCCAGTGCCTGGTGCTCCCTCCTGCCCTGTCCTCCTGGGACAGGACAGACCCTTTGTGGGGGCCACCTGGATTGCCTCATGGCCTCCCAGGGGGTGGCAGCTGAAAATACATACAGGGTCAGAAGGGACAGGATGTAAGAATCTGGGGCTGGGAGCAGCCTGAGACTGAGCAGCAGCTTCTGGCCATGCTTCTCTTCCTGTTCCAAGTCTCTTCGCACTCCCACCAGTGCCCCCTCTGACTCACCATGTCCCAAACTGAACTACTCATCTTCCCACACAAAGCCACCTCCATGAGGACCCCTACCCCTCATCTCAGGGAAAGGCACCAGGCCAGAAACAAGGGAGTCATCCCTGACTACTTCCTTTCCGTTGGAACTCTATTCCCTAATGGGATGGAGAGAACTCCAGACTTGGAGCCAGGAGGTTCAAAGCCTGCCACTTCCAGTGTCCCCAGGCCAATGCTATTATTTCTCTGATTGTCACTTTCTTCACCAGTGGGGTACGCCTACTCTGCCTACCTCCCAGGGCTAGGAGTTTACGATGAAATGAGTCTTGGATGAGCACATACTTGGGAAAGGATGCCATGCAGAGTTCACATGGGTTTTATTGAGCATTGCACTGAGAACTGGTACTTGGGCTTCACAGCAGCCCTGTGTGTCCTCCTCCTAAGTGACCTCCTCCCAGCCCAAGGCCTCCTCCCTCCCCTTCTCTCCCATTTCCCTGCAGGTGGCTTGGGAGGCAGCTTCCACAAGCAGCTCTTGGCTTATGCTTCCCCTGCACTCAAGGACCCCTGCTAGCTTCCAAGAGCATGCAAACTTTCTGAGCCCCACTCCCAAACCTAGTCTTCCACAGGAGGTCACTATGCCTAGCCCAATCAATCACATGACAGGCAGGTCCCTAAGAACTCACCTGGGGGAGGAAAGTGTTGGGAGGCTAGAGTAGTGACAAAGACAGGGAATGATGATGAGAACTCCCATTTTTCCACTTTTCCATTGTAAGCCCACGGCTGAGCTGGGCTCAGCCACCCACCACTGTCCCTCATTACAGTCTCACCAGACAAACATCAGCCTTCCCAATTTAACGATGGGGAAACTAAGAATGTGATAGGCCTAGGATCACAAGGATGGGAGACTAAGGAAGGAGCTGAGTTGACCCCTGCCCCCCACCTCCCCCAACCTTCCCCAGAGCCCAGGTTCCCAGAAGGTCCTGTGCACATGGGAGACCAGAGTCAGGTCACTCAGAATGACAGAGGCAGATGGTGCCTTGTAGGTCTCGGGGGCCAGGAGGGGTTCCGCTACCCACCCTGTGCCCCCTCCCTGCCAGCCTCCTTGGCAGGCACCCGCTTGCCACATTCCTGACATCCCAAGTCAGAATGAGACAGATGCTGCTAATTCCCCCATGCAAGCTTTCCGTTCCAGCTTCCCTCCCCCGAGCCTCTCAGACCAGCATGGCAGCATCTGGAGCCTGGCCCTCTCAGTCTGCCAGAGTTCTGAATGGCTTCCTACCCAGTGATGCTGGCTTCAGGAGCTTGCAGAAAAAGCACAGGGTTATCTCCAGACTCTGCCATTTGTTGGTTGTGTGTGTATTAGTCAGGGCTCTGGTAGGAGCAACAGGTAGATAGTCACACCAATCTGGAAAGTCCAAGCCAAGGAACAGGAGTCTACTGGGAGGGAATCAGCACCTGGGAGGGAAGGTCAGGTTGTCTGGGGGGAGGGGGGGGCGG